CTCAAATATATTTTTTCATTTTATGTGGTATTTTTTATATGTTCATTTCTTCTATTTGTTTTTTATTATTTTATTAGCATACATTAATAATACAAGTAGATTTCATAGTGATGATTATATACATGCATGTAGTATACTTTGAACAAGTTCACTCCCTCTATTATATTGTTAATCACCTGTACTTCTCCACCTTTTTAAAACAATGGTGGGTTTCATGATGCTATCTTCATTACCTTTATATATATATATATATATATATATACATATAATATATAATATTATTCTATTTTCTAATAGGATAATATTCTAATTTCATAAATTCTACTTAGCTCATAAAAATTATTCAATGTTAAGCATTCAATAATAATGTTTCAGAATTAGTCTTGTTATATACAAAATATAACTGTTTTCTTATATATGATTTACCATGCATTACGAATAACATGTGAATTTTAACATTAATTGATAAAGATTAAACCATTTTTTAAAATCAGTTTGCACACTAAAACATAAATAATTCATATATGTCAAATATGCTTTGATAAAGCTAGGAAGTAAAGAAAGCAAACAACTTGCCCTTCCACTGAGGGTCACTGCTTGTCTTGATCAGCTGTCATGAATCTCTCTTCACATCTCTGCGTCTACCCCTCCCCCAGTCACTTCAGGCTTACTTGGTATTACTACTGTGCTGTGTCTATCCCAGCTATGATACCGGCCCATTTGGGCTCTATACTTAACAACGTTACAGTCTCTTTGTAAAAGCTTTCTCAAATTTCTATTCTGAGTGTTTCATAAGATTCTTCAGCATACCAGAGAATATATATATACTTTCCCACTTTCCCTACTCTGATTGCTGCAGCCCTCCATCCTTGGGCCCTGCACACTTCTGCCTTCATCCATTTCTGTGCCTGTCATGCGTAAGAAACAGCAGTCATCTTGAAAGTGCCTTTGGCCTCACCCTGAGGTCTATATGTTGATTTCTTGATCCAGTCTCTTCCTCTTTCTTTTGTGGGACAGTGTCCCATACATTGAAAGATTACTTATGAGGTAAACCGTAGAAATCTTTGCATGACTTAAAATGCATTACTCTGTCTTCCTACCTGATGGCTGGTTTTATCTCCTGCCAAATAATGGTAGACTGAAAGTAATGACGAGGCACTTTTCCACAGTACTCTATGGTCCCATTATAATATGGAGCCTACTGTTATGCTCTTTAGATTTTTGTCTATTTATTTGTAGACTTTTCTTAATAATTTTATAATTTTTCCAATCTCTAGGGTAATAAAATTTCTTGATGTTATCTGATATTTTTATGTCATTTTAATCTTTTATATCCATGGCCTTCAAACTTCCTGTTCTAAAAGATCTATTTTCTTTTTTTCCCTTTAATCCTTCCCTTGTTTTTTCTCTGTTCCCCTGGAACAAAGGTGAATATTTAGCCTCCTAACTTGATTCTTTATGTGTCTGGTGATTTTTTTCTTATTTTCAATTTATTTAATTTTTGTTCTATTTTCCTGGGGATTTCTTTACTGCTATAATTTCTGAGTGCTGTCTTACTTCTGTCAACCTTCTGTTGGTCAATTTTATTTATTTAGTTTCCAAAAACATTTTTCTCTGTCTGTCCAAAACATCACATAATAATGAAAATATTTTCTCTCATTAATGCCTTTTGTTAAGTTTATTTTTCTGTCTGTGTCACCACTGATTTCACCACACTCCTTTTGGCCTTCATAAGATTTTCTTTTTTTTGTTCAAATGTCTTATACATATTAAAAAATGAGGCGTTGAAATTTTGATCTTTGAAGATTTGAATCAATAAGGCACACATAGTCCTTCATAGGTTTCTGATCAAGGTTTTACCAGAGAGGTGCCATTCCATTTGTGATCTCTAAAGGTAGAAAGTGACTTTTCTCCAGTGTCATTTAGTTTTGTTTGGAGGGGGAGGGTTGTTTGTTTGTTTGCTTGTTTCAGTGCTGGGGATTGAACCCAGTGTCTCACAGCACTAAACACGTGTTCTTCCACTGAGCTACCCCCCCAGCCCATGATTCTATTTTTTAACCAACGATGGCACTATCTTGCTTATGAGTTATATGCCTCTGTTAGCGATTGGGAGTGACCTCAAAAGAGAGGACAGGAGAGTGAACTATTCTTTTATCCTCATCTCTCTTACTAGCCCTGAGTCTCACCATCCTCCTTACCTCGTTTCCTGGCATCCAGAGTAATTCAGAAGGGCCAGAAGGGGAATCTGTCCACTGGGAAAGACTCTGCTGCCTTAGTACATGGCCTCTGGAGCCTGCCAAATCAGTTATCATATGTCTTCTCTCTTTCAGATGTCTGTGAGCATCTAATGTCTTATTTTCTTTGTTCTTATTGTTCTAAACATTTTTTCCTTTGCCATTGTTGTTCTACTCAAATATTAAGAGAGAAAAAGAAACATAATGGAGTTTGACATTTTAAGTCTAATTTCAGTGTGTTTATTCTTCATCTTAAAAATCAGGTGTTAAAGTATGATATATTTGATACATCATAAGAACTTTTGTAAATGCCACAACATGCCCCCACCCAGCAAAACAATAAAAAAAAAGAACACAACACCAAATGTTGGAAAAAAAGTGGGTAAAACAAACCGTTATACACTGTTGATGTAATATAAGTTAGTACAACCACTATGGAAAACAGTATGGAAGCTACTCAAAAAAGTAAAAATAGAACTGCCATATGATCCAGCAATACCTCTCCTAGGAATATACCCGAAGAAATGTAAATCAAGATAAAAAAAATCAGGTGTTATGTAAAGAACAGGATGAACCTTACTGCAAACAAAAATAATATGTCAAATAACTAGAAGGAATTACAATAAAATATTAATGGTGACCATATGCAGAAAGGTCATAAAGAAATCATTTCAATAAAACGTTCAGGCATTAACATCATATAGTCCATATCCAGGGGCAAAGGAGAGATTGGAAAATGCAATATTCTCACTGGATTACCATAAATAAGGTTTCTTTTGCTAAGGAAATTGTACAAGGCACAATTATGCCAGGGTGATAACCCGCAAACTCTGACAAGTACCCACTGTGCAGCACACTCTACACAATACAGACAGCACAGAACAGGAATAACGTGCATTATTTATGTCCTTAATAAGTTGTGGAGATGAGTATCTTAAACTAGCAAAAACTCTGTGTTTTTCTTATTATCTCTTATGTTTTCTCTTCAACAAAATTGTAGAAGATGGAAGTAGAGCAGGTTTTCCAGAAGCTGGGGTGGGGGAGGTGGCACAAACAATGTACACACAAGTGAGTAAATGTACAACCAGTAAAATAAAAAGGAGAAAAGAAAAAAAATCATTAAAAACAAAACCAAGAGAAAGTGTATCTGATGACACAGTTATACACAGGATTGTTTAAGGAATATAGAAAATAAATATGGAATTCTTTTTTATTTTTAATTATTATTATTGTTGTCCTAGGGGTACATTGCGACATTACAAAAGTTGTTACAATAGATCAGTTGAATTCATCTCCTCTATCATGCTCCTTTATCCCCTCTATCCCCATTCCTGGAACACTTTCAAAAGGTTTCAGTTTTCCATTTTCACATGTGAGTACTATTTCCACCACAGTCATCCCTTCTCTATACCCCCTCCCTCACTGGTGCTGACCCCCAAACAAGACCTGCTTTACCTCTCTATCCTCCATTTTTGAAAAAAAGACATTTTTGTTTGTTTAAGATATCTATTCAGAGAGTTTCATGGTGATATTTTCATGTATATATGTATTATATCCTGAATTGGTTCATCCCTCCATTTTTACCTTAGTCCCCTTCTTATAGTAATTTCAACAGGTAAAATTCTATATTCATTCTTGTATAGATAGGAAGTACTCCACCATATTCACCTTCTTCATCACATAATTCTTGAAAAATAAGAGTCATGAGATAAAATCTAATGCAATTCCTCAGAATTAAAATACCTTTTCCAAAATATTAAGAATACCCAGTTACTCTCCATGCTCACTAAGTAAACACAGAAACAAAATGTGCTTATTTCATTTTGTTCTTTCTGAGAATTGAAAAGAGTTTTAACTAAAAATTTATAATACATCTCCTTAACTTATTTCAATAGTTCAAATGTCAATTCATTTTGTTTGCTTTAATTAATCATCTAATCTGTATATTGGGAAAAATAAAAGTAAGTTTGCTTTAGTAAAAGTAGTATCACAGTATTGAAGTTGGAGAGTATTCAAATTCTCTCAGAGAATCTGTAAAATATTCCCCTCCTCTTAAAATATGTAAAATACCTCTTCATATACAGAAACAATCTTTTGGACAGTTTGTCAATTTATACCAATCTCCTTCGTTGTGTGAAATATATATTTCTTGTCTGCATTTGTTATATTGCATTATAACTATCTTTTTACAAATCTGTTTTCCCAACTAGATTCTGTAATATTTGGGGGAAAAAACTAAGGAAGAAGGAAATACAAAGGGAAGAACAAAAAGGAAGGAGGGAGGAGGAGAGAAAGGAAACAAGAATAGAGCACTTGGGAAGTTAAACTTCCTTTTTTAGGAGAAATGATCTGATTTCTTGGGAATATCTCTCTCTTGTAACACCACCCTAAATCATTGAGTCATAGCTGAATAGAGTTTGATGTGAACAGAAGTGATCCAAAGCAGGTCAACAAGATACTGAGTAGGAGTGTTGACTATTCCACTCTAGAAGAAAATAAACCTTACCAGCATGAAAACATGTAAGTTTAGCTCACTGAAAATAAACTCAAATAATTCTCTGTTAAAAAGTTCAAGACAGTGCTGGTGGTGTGGCTTAAGTGGTTGACCAATGCCTAGCAAGCACAAGGCCCTGAATTCAAACTCCAGTACCACCAAAAAAAAAAAAAAAACAGTTCAAAAAAGTTAAAAGACTGTTCTTTAAAATTGGTGATAATTAGGGACATTAAAGGTGTCAAGTAATTCTCTGACTTTGCAATTCTGACAAACTATCTCCTCTGCTTTTCCTTGGAGGAGAACTTGCGATTCCATAGTCGCTTCATGGCATTTTTTACATCCTCATTCCTCAGAGTATAGATGAGTGGGTTTAGCATAGGGGTTATGGCGGTATAAAACACAGACACAGCCTTATCCAGTGGGAAAGTAGTGGATGGGCGGAGATAAATAAAGATGCAAGGGACAAAGAAGAAAGCTACCACAGTCAGATGAGATCCACAGGTAGCAAGAGCTTTGCTCCGGCTCTCAGCAGAGTGTTTCCGAAGACTAAATAGAATGACTGTGTAGGATGCCAGAAGAATGAGGAAACACCCCAGGGAGGTGAGACCACTGTTGGCAACCACCAACATATTTACCAGGGTGGTATCAGCACAAGCAAGTTTTAGGACTGGGTGGACATCACAAAAGTAGTGATCTATAACCTTAGCATTGCAGAAGGGCAGTTGAAAGGTCAGGAGGGTCTGGACAAAGCTATGACCCAGGGCCCCCAGCCAGGACAGTGATGCCAACACGGTGCAAGCATTGGCACTCATGATGGTAGTATAACGGAGTGGGTGGCAGATGGCGGCATAACGGTCAAAGGCCATTACAGTCAAAACAAAAATCTCAGCACAACCAAAAAAGTGGAAGGTAAACATCTGGATTATACATCCCCAGTAGGAAATAGTCTTTTTCTCAGAAACAAAGTCTGCAATCATCTTGGGTGCTGTGGCTGAGGAATAGGCAGTGTCCACAAAGGACAAGTTACTTAGAAAGAAATACATGGGTGTGTGGAGCTGGCAATCAGACAATACTGTAAGCAAAATGAGTGAATTTCCCACTACGATGATGGCGTAGAAGAGGAAGAATAAGGTAAAGAACATTAATTGCACTCCAGGATCTTGGGAAAGTCCCAGGAATATGAACTCAGTGACATTGTTGGCCACTTCCATGGGATCAGGCAGGATTGGTACAGTAGCTCTAGTTCTCTAAAAAAAATAAGCACATATTGTCATTATTGTAAGACTAGGACAATCTAATAGGAACAGTTACATGAAAGCATCTAAGGGATGCTGAATATGGTAAAGAAAATTCTTCATATTTTTGAGCATGATTTATGCATATTTTTCTCAATTTTTATGTTATTGACTCACATTTGATTTTTTGTTATACCTACTCTTATAGTTTCTTTCTCTGAAACAAAAACCTAGAGAATCTGAAGTTTTATTAGAATTGGATTGAACTTATTTTTCTTAATCACATCTCTCTCTCTCCCAATCTCTCTCTCTTCTCTTTTCTTTTCCCTCCTCTGCCTGACTCCTTCTCTTCATCCTTTCCCTCCTCATAAGAAATTCTCTTTAGAAATTTAAAACCTTTATTTATTAAATGGATAAATCAATTTTTGAAGCTGTAGAAAAAATAAGAACTCACGATCTGAGATCAGATAGCTAAAACTCTAGGTGTATCTTTAAATATAATATTCTAAAAACCACCAATAAAACATAACATTCTATTTAATCAAAAGAGAAAGTCTCAGTTCCAGTTTTTTGAATCAGATTAAAAGTCCAATACAATTAACAATTAAGCCATTTTTAATGTTTGAGAACAACAGTATCCTAGAATAACACAGAGTAGCCTCCTGCTTACAAACAATTTATGCTTATGAATCAGCTTTGGTGGAGGTGAATCCTAAACTTTGACCTACATGTTAAAATTCCTTCACTTGCCCATTAAGAAAATATGACAAGTAGTTAACCTGTATGGAGAAATATTTCTTCCTACATTGAACTAAGAAGCAGAAAAGTTTAAAAATGATTGAAGTCTGTCTTATTCCCTACCTCTCTTAAGTAAGAATTAGGAATAAAATTTTCCATACAGGTAATGCTATAGTTGGCACTTTAAAAATAAAAATCTATACCATTTTATAATCTGTATTAGAGGGTGCTTAAGGCATGAGGGGGAAAGTGTTGGATAAGAATAATCAAGGAGCAATTCTTAAAGAAGATGATTTGTGAGACAAGACTTAAGAAGATCCTGAAAATGAAAATGACCTTTTCTGAAATACTGAAAATTACTAGCTATTCTCCATCTACTAGCACCACCTAAAAGCTGAGTAGCATCAGTTTGAGTCCTTCCCACACTGGGTAACTTTGGGTAAATCTATTATCTTCTCTGAATCTGTTCTCTCATCTATAAAAGATGGATGATGAAATTATTTTTTAAGAATGAAAAGTGTGCCATGGGGTGGGTACAAAAGAGTGCATAAGACAGGAGATGTTCCTGGGTTCACAAATAGTATAGCCAAATGTAAAATGTTATAAATCATCATAACATTTTCTATGCATAATGCAAACAAGTTTGATATAATCCAGTGCCAACTCCATGTGGAAGTGTTAGGAGATGAGGGTGCAAAGAAAAACATGCCAAGTCATGAAGGGTCTTGATAGTTAAACCAAAGAGTTAGAAATAAAATCACTCTTACAGCAGAAAGTCAGCTAGAATGGAAAGTGATGGACAGAAGTTGTTAAAAAAAAAAAAGGATGTGTGGAACCCTTCTTCCCCAGGTTTAAATTCCATCTCTTGCATTTGCTAACAGAATAACTTTAGAAAAGTTACTTAATTTCCCTTTGCTTCACATATCACATAAAGTATTATAAGAATTAAATATATATTACATATAAAACACTTATGTACATGACATATTTTGAGTGAATATATAACTATCATTATTCATCCTAGCTACTGAAGAACATTCTGACCAGAAAGAGAGTAGAAGCCTGGGTAAGAGTAATCTTGAAAACACTACCCTAATTCTCATTTGTCCATGTTTGCCAAAATCTTTGAAACTGTATCTACTTCTGACACCTATTCTGTCAAACACATTTCTTTGAATGTAGCAATAGAAGAGTACAGAGAACTCTTTAAGAGTTCAAGCAAGGATACACAAAGATGATTGGGCGGCTGTTCTCTTCTTCCTGAGTGGCAGCATCACAGCTTTCTCTAGGATACACCCTTTCACAGAAGCAACTAAAATTAGTCAAAGTGTAGGAGCCAAGATCTTCATTAGAAGATAGAGATCTGAAGATAGAACAGCTGGGTTAGACTTGCAGCTCTGGCTCTTACAAGCTATGCAATACTAACACAATGTTCCCAATATTTTTTCACCCCTGAGTTGTTCCATGTGAAATAATGCCACCCACAGTGAGCACCAAATTAAACAATGGACATAAAAGCACTAACTGATCTATAAATCTTTTAGTAATGGCATTTCAGGAACATTAGTATCAGACATCCAGACTATATGGACCACGGCCTCTATGGAACTAATCATTTACATGGGACTGCTCAGGTACCTTAATCAAACTCAGACTCTAGAACAAAGCCAAAAAATATGTACTAGTTATAATAGGGTCTACTCCCTTTAACTCCATGAGCCCACTTAAATTACTTCAAATAGAATAATGAGCAAGAACACAATTTCTGAAATCCTCTGTGAAAGATATGGTCTTAGTTCCCCTTGCAAATGATTTACAAAGAGAGAAATCAAACATTCTGGATTTCTTCCCAAGCAGCAAGCACCATCTCACAGAAGTTAACAGTGTCCATGACTTCAGTATTCCTCCCAGAGAAATTAGGATACGTGCCTGTTTTCAAGTCTCTGGTCACTTGATATAATTTTGTTATCTACAAATTCTAATCTGTTTCTCTAATAGACCACAATTGATTAAACAATTTACTAATTGTGGAACTGAAAGGTAAGGAACATTAATAGTCTGAACAAGTAAAATCCCTAAAAAAAATCTGCAAATGAGTTAGTATAACACAATATAGAAAGTATCATTGATTTGATCGTCTATATAACACCAATGTGAATTTATCTTTCACTGAATGAATATCTGTTGAGCACCTTCCCTATGTATTGTAATGTGAATATAAAAGACAAATAAACCAAATTCCTGATGTAAAGTCATTCATTTTAGAGTACCATTTTTAAATGACCTCACCAAGTCCTCTTAGACTAGACCATGCAAGTCCTATAAAAAGGGGATCTTAGAGATCACTTGATTTTATTCCACTCTTTTAACTGTTGGTAAAATAAATGAAGCAAAGAGGGGAAAGTGAATTACCCAGTTTCACTTTCAGGACTAAATTACAATTACAATAATATTGATATACCCTTTTAAACTACAATATAAACTATTCCTTAAATTATTTAATGGAATTCCTAGAACAGATATTGAAAAATAAATGGAGATGCAAACATTCTTTTTCATCCTTGAAATTATGTTCAATGAAAATTACTCTTGCTTCTTTTACTCAGGGTAAAGCTGACACTTCAGATGGATAACTTACTCTAGTCTTCTTGAGTGTGGTCCCTCAACTGATTTGAATGCACTGAGATCCTGGATCTATAAAACTTTCAAGACAAAAATGTGATGTATATTCTGATATTCACAGTAAAAGATCAAGAATCACAAAATGATGCTTATGATGATTCTCTGATTTTCTCCTGTGTTGTCATATTTCCTCTCCAAAGTCTCTCTCTCTCTCTCTCTCTCTCTCTCTCTCTCTCTCTCTCTCTCTCTCTCTTCCTCCCTCTCTCTCTCTTTCTCTCTATCCTCTCTCTTTCTCATTTATAGCCATGCCATTGCTTCTGATAAATTTATAAGAGCTTCTTTCTGTGTTCCTGGCTACCCTGAGGAAAAACCTCTCAGCAATTTTTATGCATCATTAAAACCCTGGGGAATTACTGGGCATGTGATCTGGTGGCAACTGGAGACTATTGTTAGGCAGAGAAACTCAAGTGTAACCTGCACCAAATAATGCCTTATAAAACTTTATTGAAGGCTTCTTAGCAAGTCACTAGTTAATAAGTAGTCAGGACATTTCCACAGTTTTGCATAATTCACCCAAAGTTGAGGAAAGGAAAGGGGAAGTGTGGAGCTTTGCACCACCATTGAACAACTAATCCAGCAACAACGTAGTTTATTTGCTTATAAAGTATTAACTCTTTCGCCGTTTAAAAATTGATTACAGGCACTGTGGAGACACTGCCTCAGCCCTAGAATTACGTGGATGTGTTTCTATGGGATTAAGTCAAGGGAGCTTAATAAGAGCTGGGGATTACATCTGAATTTTAATATAAAATCACAGTATGAACTTCCAGGTCAAGCCTAAAGTTCTGTATGTTTGAATGATACAATCATAGCAACGGAAAAAAATACAATCCCATAGCAATTAACCTCAGTTAGAGTAATTTTCTGAGGCAAAAGCATTAAGATGTTACCACATAAAAGTGCCTTTTGTTGTTGCTAACATTTTACTATCTGTGACTCTGGATTACCAATAAAGCAATAAACAAGAAAATACCTAAGTGTGGTAGTCTATTCTTACTGGATTACTCCATTCAAATGTCTTTTTAAGTAAAAGACAGTGTCACATACTTCAATAACTGGCATTTTCCTATTTATTAAGGAAAATTTAATGAAATTTGAATAAAAGGTAAAGTTCAATTACTAATAATCCATCAGTATTGCTTCATTAGCTGTGACAAATATAGCATAGTGAGGTAGATAAGAAGAGGGGAAATGACCTGAGGTATGTTCTGTCTGTGCTATCATTGTGACTTTTCTATAAATCTAAAACTATTATAATTTTTATTGTTTAAAAACTGGCAGAAGAAGGAGACTAAGGTAGAAAGGAAAAATATAAAAATAGAGGGGATACCAATTTGTGATATAATACATATATACAGGAAATGTCACAATGAAACACCCTACATAGCTATCTTAAACAAACAAAAATGTCATTTTATTTTTCATTTTCAAAAATGTAAAGTAGGAAGTCAAAACAGGTCCTGTTTGGGGGGGTGGTACCAGTGGGAGGAGGATGATATAAGGAAAGGGTGTAGGAGGGTGAATATGGTGAAAACATTTTGTACATATATATGTAAATGGAAAAATGAGACCTGCTGAAACTATTCCAGGAATGGGGAGCATGGGGGATACAAGAAAATGATGGAGGGGATAAATTCAACTATAACATATTATAAAAACCTTTGTAAATGTCACAATGGATACTCAGTACAACAATAATAAATAAAAAAAATCATAAAGATTAATAAACATATGTTGTTAAATAGAACATATATAAAACACTTAAAATGTGAATTTTAAGCATAGTTTTGTAGACACTTATGTCACCTAACTTGGCTGGTTTCAGTATGACTAGAGGGTCATTAGGGGTTTTGCTGTCACGTGGCAGTGATCTAGAATCAAGTTCATATTTTTGTTCTGTGATTATCTTGGATCAAGCAATTATTTTCTCAGCCTTGATTCCCGTTCAACTTATTAGAACAACTAGTAAAAATAGTAACATAATCAGTCCAATTTATTGAGTCCTGACTATATGTAGATACACTCATTAGAACTTTACAAGTGTTAACCTCATTTTCTTAGAAACTTGTGAGGTGAATACTATTATTTTCTTCATTATACAGACAAAGGGATATTGAGAAATTAAGTCATTTGCACTGTGCTAAGTGGTAGAGCTGGGCCATGATGACTTCATTCAACTAAAGAATCCACACTTAGGATCTCTCTGTTCTACTCCCTCTAATCTGCCCCAATCATCTTGTGAGGGGAGCCAATGTGAGGGGGAATAAACAGCAGAAACGACTCTGGGAATGGAAAGGAAGCAAATGGCAAAGTAATTTTGTCTTAGATAAAGGAGATGGGAAGGCATCTTTAAAAGCAAACATCTTAAGAGATGTGAGAAGCAGGCTTCTCACCCATATAAGAATGTACAGCAGTCTTTTTCCTAGATAAGGGAGACAAAAAAGCATTCTTAAAGACAAACATCTAAAGAGATTAAATATAGACCCCTTAAGGATGATAACATGACAAACTTTCCCAAGATAAACAGAAAGGGGGTCTTAACAAAATAATGAGTGGTAGTCATAAAAACTGTATAGCAGCTTTCAAGGACAAGATGAACTAACAAGGACCTCCTGGAATGTCCACTCTGATGAAGATGGGGGTCAACAAAAAAAGTTAATTAAACAGGCCAAGTATAGATGTAGCTTCAGAATAAAGTAGGGAATGCCTGAGTCAGGCCCTCTGTTATCTCTTAGATTTCAGCTATTCTACAGTTTAGCTCTTTCACTAAATCCCACGCATCAGGGTTCTTTGTTATCCTTTCAATAAACTTTGTGCTTGCTTTACTCTTAACTCCAGGTCTGACATCTTCAATCATAGACTATGCCAGGACACAATCTCTGGAACAATATTCCAGTACCAATCTGGCCTCACATATTATCTTATAGGATATACATCTCCCTCTGTTGAATATTGACAGAATCCATAGTTAGATATTTGGGTGATCTATTGATGCTTGGTTAAATACCCAAATGATAATATGTCTATCCCATTTCCAGTCACATGATATGCACACAGCAAATAGTTGCAGAATTAATTAATGTATAATAATTTAATAATTATTAGGAAATTAATGAACACTAAAAGATACAAATACCACTAGGATTTATTTATTATAGGAACATCTCAAAGGAAATGTTTCTCTCTAAATTAGGAGTAAATGTCATGATAACATATTGACTTCTCCCTAATAATATAGTCTAGTTTCTAGGGCTTTTAGAGTGAAATTTTTGGCAATATGAGGGAAGGGTTTCCTAATTTATATTGGCCCATTTGCACAATGTGGACTTGGAGCTGGGCTATAAACATGTATAACCTCAGTTACTTCCATGATGCAACTTGGAAATATAAAGTCTACATTTCTCCCTTTATTTCATGAATCAGACTTTTTTGTGTCTCTATTCAATTATTTTAGAGCCCCAGAGTTGGTAAAAAGAGATAGACATACCCCATCAGCACCAAATATCTGTGGGACCTAGGGCAAGAGTAAAAATGGATAGCATGTAGCATATGTCTAAAATCTATAAATCAAGCTAACAAAATCTAAATGTGCTATCTCCTCATGTCTTTGTAATTACTGGAAGGCTAGTTTGCAATTTAAATTGCTCAGAATCTTTGAATTTCTGCATCAAAAAAAATAAAATAACAGTGTGGACAGAGCAGATATTTGGCCCTTAGCCTCCAGGCCAACACTTCTCCTGGTTCCAAACCTTTCCACAAGAGGCCTTTCGTATATGAATGTGACCACATAGCCCAAATGTCCAGGCTCTGCCACACACTTCACATAATGTCACTCTAACGCTGGCCTAAGGCAGTCACACACTACCATATGTTCCACTCTCAGGAGAACCAACCCAAAGAAGAGGCTCAGGCACATTCTCAAAGTGGGACAGTGATAGCTGAGCAGGGAATTCTTCTGCATCAAACAAAGAATACCAATCGTGTACAATCTGAAAAACAAGAAATTTCTTTGGTTTATTAATGAAGATAATTTTAATACAGCTAAACATTTAATCAAGAATTGGAGGATTGAAACTGAAAAAGGGAACGCAGAGCCTTTGCTTTTCTGAATATAATGTTGCCAATCTTAGCTATCAACAGGACATTTAAAATGACTTGCCAAGGCCCCAAATTTTGTGTTGAAAGATAGACATCAGAAAGTTTATTGCAGCCACAGTGGTGCAGAAAGCCTGACACTTCATGTCCTTACAATGTGCTTTGCTAACAGCGCACAGCACAACTTCCTGTCAACTCACACACTACTCTCTAGTTGACAGTTTTCTGCTCTTTCAGGATATTCATTGTAGGGAAAGGATCTTTGTGCAAATGCTAAGTACAAAGAAAAGAGGAGTGGGTCTTCTGTACTGGGGATGCTACTCCTTCCCTGAGCCGTCCTACTTAGAAATATTCCAGGTAGCAACCTTTTTCCTGTTCTGTGAGTACTCCTTCCCCAGCAATGCATGGATGCTTACATGAATCCATGTATATATGGTTTCTTAAACACAAAGTTCAAGGATAAAAATGAAAATCCATTCTTTGTTCTAATATGAAGATAGCCTGTACATGACCAAGAATATTAAAGATTAGCTAGGAAGTCCTAGCTATTGTTGGAGCTTCAAATACTTTCTCACAGGTATATTTTCAGCTAAGTGGTCAGAAAAGCATCCATAGCAATTCTTTTAACAATAAAGTGAGCAAATATAAAAGTATAGCTAAAAGTTTATCACTACTATCCTATTACTTAGTGAATAGAATAAATATCCTCCAATATCCATAAAAAGTTGTAGGAAACTTTATGTCATTAAAAGATAACCTTAGATATAAATGCCCAGTGAATCCTTTTAGGGATCATCCTAGCTCTGTAGGTCCTAAATCCATACAGTAGAATTAAGCAATTAGTCTACATAATTAGGGTAAATGCTTTTTCTGAGACTAAAAAATACTAGCTTAACTGTCTAAAATTACTAGTTTTCTTGGTTGCTTACACTTCTTCTAAGTATTCTTAGACAAGTTATGTCACAGCTCTCAGTCATTGGCAAAAAAACCCTGAAGTCTAATGATATTAGCCTCAAAGCACATTTGTCACTGAGAAGTAATAACCATGAGTACCTCAAGAACAGAGAGAGTGCTTTAAACTATGACTCATTTCTTTCTCTTTTTCTTTTAATTTAGATTTCTGAGCTCTTAAATATTATGATCATATTATGCTTTTCAGCTTGCTCTCACTATAATTTGACTCAAAGAAAAATTCATTGTGAAATGGAACACGTCCTCTACTGGAGTTCCCATCACCATAGCATTCCCAGACTTCCTTTCTCTCACACATAAACTCTGCTAAGAAAATATGTTCAATCAAACAACCTGGTTGCATTTCTAAAAAGTGGCACACTGTGGAAAACATTTCCTAGGTGAACACTAAGATACAAGGAGTATAGTGCTGTTTCCAGGCTTAGCTAGCAATAAGATGAAATGAATTCACATTGCTTCAGAAGAGGCTGTGATGAAACATCAAACAGATCTTCTTATCACTAAGTACTATTGGAACAAGTCACAAAAGGAAATGTAATGTTTTCCTTCATTTGAATATAGTTAAGTAGTAAAATAATTTGAATAAATATAAATCCGTTATAGACAAAAGGATAGAGAAGTTGACTTTTTTTTTAAAGAGAGAACATGAACACAGTACCCCACTACTACAAATTATGCAGTTGAGTTTCCCACATTTGGGGAAATCACAGGGGTCAGCACATCCGGACTGCAATAGATAAACCTCACCCTGGGAAAACCACCTTCGTGATCATGGTATCTCTCCCACCAGGTAAGTATAGAGAAGTTGATACTTTAAAGCATTCTCTTAAATTCATCTTTTGTTTCATTTCTATCATTTGACAGCCAACAAATAATCTTGAGTTCTCTGCCTAATATGTACCATGCAGGAAAGCCATCTATCTCTCTCAAATATCATCAAAAGTGATCCTTTATAAATTTTATGCTGGCTTCTTTTTTATACCAAAGTTTTCAAAATGGTTCTCATGCACACACTCTTATAAGGTAAGAGTGTCCCAAGAAAGGTTATGCTTTCTAAATAACCTTTCCCTGTTTATCCTTTAACAAGGAAAAATAATTCCAAATGCTTTCTTCTTTGTTTCTTCATAGCAGTCTTCATATCAGCATTTCTGAGGGTATAGATGAGGGGATTCAACGTAGGTGTGATCACTGTGTAAAATACGGCAAATACCTTATCCACAGAGAGGCTGCAGAATGGCCTCAAGTAGATGAATACGCATGGCACAAAGATTAGACTGACCACTGTTAGGTGGGAGGCAAAGGTAGAGAATGCCTTGCCCTGGCCCTGGTGGAAGCTAGTTCTCAGAGTGATCAGGATGACAGCATAGGAGAACAGCAAGACCAAGAAGCAGATGAGAGACAGCAGACCACTGTTGGAAACCATCAGTACCTCTACCATGTAGGTGTCCATGCAGGCTAGCTTGATGACCTGTGGGGCATCACAGTAGAAGTTGTCCAGTTCATTGGGGCCACAGAAAGGCAGCTGGATGACCAGTATTACCTGTGTGATAGAGTGGATGAAACCCCCACACCAACAGGCAAACACCAGTTGAAGGCATAGCTTGTGGTTCATGACTGACAGGTAGTGCAGAGGATTACATATGGCCACGTATCTATCGTAGGCCATGACTGTCAGCAGAAACATCTCACTGGCTCCCAGAAAGTGGAGGAAGTAAATCTGGGCCAAGCATCCTGAAAAAGAGATGGTCTTGTCCTGCTGTGGGAAATCCCCTAACATCTTGGGCACAGCAACACAGCTGAGGCATAAGTCAATGAAGGAGAGATGGCTCAAGAAGTAGTACATAGGAGACTGGAGCAGGTGAGCATCAGCTCGCACTGTAATCACTATCAAGAGGTTTCCAAGGACAGTAGCAACAAAAAACAACAAAAATACTAAGAAGAGAAAAAGCTGTAGCTCCCAGGAGGATGATAGACCCAGAAGTACAAATTCTGTCACCTTAGAGTCATTTTCCTTTTTCATCAAGCCGAGTATACCAAATGATCTAGAGAAAGAATTAAATTAGAACAAGAGACTTAAGTTAGACAAAATGAAAAAATGATAAGGAAATATTTCTCACTCATTTTTGTAACCAAACCACAATGCTTAGTGTACAGAAACTCAATAACCTATCAAATTGATAACATTGAGAAAACTTTATAACCAATGAGTTGCTATGCTGTATAAAGGTTAGCAGCTATTATGTGTGTTTAAAAAACATAAATCATCTGGGAAGAATTAAAAGAAGCACATATTCTTTGTCATTATTATTAATCTCAGATCACAGAAATTGGGGACTTTATAGAGATTAGGTAAGGAGAAATAAAATACTGGCCTTTAAAGTTTAGGGAAGCATCTGCCTCAGGATGAGAAACAGTGGCTAGAAGATAGTAATCACCAAGAAAAGAGATCAAGTGTAATGACCCATATCACTGAGGCAGAAAGAAAAGCCCGCCATGATCCATTTTGAAGGAAGTGATAATAGGAGAAGTCAGAATCATGCTGCTTCTGGACTTTTCAACAACCCCAGATACATGAGGAAATAAAGGACACACTGGAACATCATTTTACATACTTTCTTCTGCTCTACACTCATAGTCAGCCCAAACATTGAGTGAGAATATCTTGGATTACAAAAAAAAATCAAGGAACACTGATATAATTCTTCCATAGAAGTAAGAGTTAATAGATGCCTCTATGTCTGGATAAGACAAAAAGCTGTCTGGTATTAGCTCTAGACAGAATGATATGAAGTTTGTATCTTTTTTCCTCCTAACTATCTATCATTCCATGTTGTAGTTAGTTCTCTCAAATCATTCAGAGAAAATTGATCTGATAAAATCATCTATATGAGATGTCAGAGATTTGTGCAGAAAATGCAGAAAAGCATCTGAATTTTGAAATGGAAAATCATTAATAACAAGAAATTTTCCTCCAAGATATTATTTTAAAATAAGCAGGTGTGAGAGAAAGTTGGGACTCAAACAACTTTTGGATGCCACTATCAATGTTTGTGACTGTCCTCTTCACTTTTCTCTAGAGTCCGGTGCACAGGTACATCTAGGTCTCTATTTTCATAAATGAAACACCTCACTTTCTAGAATCAGCTGGAAATTAAAACAAAAACACAGGTTAGTAAAGTATTTACTGTCATATGCATTGCTTTCAGATAATATGAAAATATCAACCAATATGGAAAGTTCCCTTTCAGTTTTAACAAAATTGGCACACTTAGTAGAGGCATCTTCCATATTTCTGAAATCTCTGATCATGGTAAGAAACTCAACTTCTTACTATTCTACAAAGAATAACAGCATTGTGCCCTTCAGCAGGAAGCAACATCCATCAGCAAAACCATCTCCCACCACAACATAATTTCCCTTTCCAAGAATGTAAATTAGCACATTACACTAATGAAGATACTTTAGTTGACATGTAAATGCCATCTGAATCTGTTGTTTTCTAATTTCTCCTGAAATACCAAGAAATGGTCACCATTAGTTGGAGATGCTATTTCCTACTGAGAAAGACAAAACCTTTTTGCTCTAAACATTTTGAACCTTGTTTGAAAATTGCATTTTAAATTGCATTTGGAGGGAAGTAAAGAGATTTGGCAAATAGCAACTGAAATAATTAAACAAATGGACATTAGGACCTATGAATAGGTCTTGAGGCAGTATTTTTCTGAATCAGTGCCTTCAAGGACCTAAGGTTAGTCCTGTCTTATCCAAACCTAGAAGTTCCCTTCCAAGATTTTGCCTACCCTAGAATCCCTTCATGTTGTCAGAATTTGATTTTCTGTGAATCTAAGTATAAAACTTAGAACTAAACTGTGAATGATTTCTCAAATTTAAAATTATGAATGCCAGATTACATAGAGAAAAAGACAACAGCAGTGCTACCAAAGCATCAGAGGTAAAAAGGTGAGTAGGAAGGTGAATAGAGTTTGAATAAACATGTCTGAAGAACTTACATCATCGCTGATTAAGAGCTATGTACTTTCAAGAAACAAACAATATTCTTGCCATTTATCACATCAGGGTAGGAAGTGAACAACTGAACAATCCTCAGATACTGTCACAGCAGCCCCACCTATGCCCTCACTGCTTCCTTATAAGCCAAGCCCTGGTTGAGGACAGGCTGTGTAGAACAGAAAGATCTGTCCCTAGAGCTCTGGGGCTGTATTTGAGGTTTTTATTGCTCTTACAACACTGCTCAGCCTAATGAGCCTTGGGATTCCCTAGGCTGCTGTTGTTTGAGATTCCTGCATCTCAGTTTTTGCTGGGAAGCTGACCTGGAACCCGGCAGGCTCTGAAACAGTCAGGCCTGGTGCATAGTACACCCCATTCTTCCTATTTACTTTGGATTGATTAATTTGGGACTTCATCTGCTATTTTCCATATCTCAGTCTGTACCTGAGTAAAATGTTCCCACCTGGTTCTATTTTAGGAATGCTCTCTAGATTGGCAAAAGCTGAAAGACCAATAATACTAATCTGTCCCTGAAACCTATAGAAAAAATACATCCTTCATATCCAACAGCTGAGTCTTTTTTTTCAATGTAACACTTTATTTAACTTTGAAAACGTTTCGGCATTCTAAACCTACAAAAAACAACAGAAAGTTGCAAATTGTGTTTAAGTACAGGTTCTTGAACTTTTCATTGATACAGTGGCTCTTTGCTGAAAATGAAGAGTTTCATAGTTTAAAGTCTACTACACTTAACTAAAAGAGAAATTCAAATTTCTTATGCCAGCTGACTCCTCCCCATTTTTCCACAGCTGAGAATGCTATGGCACTATATGCAAAAATGAGACAAACTGAACCTGAATGGATGCCCACTGCAGTGTCAACAGGTCCATTCTCAAGTGCACACCCTAAGCTACAGCCCCTCCAAAAGTATCTTCCTCCACAGCCTCAACGCCAAATAAGAAACATTCATAGTCCGTCTCAATTGTTTTATTCTTTTTACAAATTATAGATGTGTACTGTTGGTAACTCAGGATTTCTAGCCAATAGCTAACACCACTTTACGATTTGAAAACAAAATGCCAGAAACATTTTCAATTGCCTTGTCACACCACCAGCAAAGTGCACAGAGTGAAGAGAACATGGGAGTGCCTTTTCACTGTAAAAACATTTTAAAACTTTGGTACTATTTCAGGGTGCTCCAGACACCCATGGCCACTTTATATAAACCACTAACAATTTCTAGAGCTTTGATAGACTACAATTGGATCATGATCAAATTATATAATTAAACTTAATGAGGGCGATAGACACAGATATTCACAAGGAGACAGAGAAACAGGTTTTTTAATTCATCCTTTTCCTCCTCCCCCTCCTCTTCTCATCTTCCTCTTCTCCCTGTTTCCTGGCAACTTCAGTTGGACCCTTTGTGCCATAAAACTTTCCTTTAGACTTATACTCTGCAGCATCTTTCTCATACTTCCCCTATAGCTTTGCTGCCGTAGTGATGCACAGCTGCTTCTCACTGTCGCATAAGTTATTCCACTTCTCCCATAGAGATGCCTGGGTTTGTGGGTTTGATCATGGGTGGAATTCTGAACAGAACATGAAGAATTCACATGGTAGTCTTTGAGGGGCATTCAGGTCCTTTTCCTTCTTGCCTCCCTTAGTTGGTCCATAATCCTCCATTTCTTAATCATGGCATACTGGTTTTTCTCCCAGCACTGGAGTTTGAACTAAGGGCCTCACACTTGCTAGGCAGATGCTCTTACCACTTGAGCCACTTTGTCAGCCCTTTTTCATGATGGGTTTTTTCAAGATAGGGTCTCAGTGATCCTCCTAATCTCTGTCTCCCAAGTAGCCACAATTAAAGGCATGAATCTCTGGCACCTGGTTCATAGCATACTTTTTCTGCTTTTGCCATTTCATATATTTTAGATTTCTCTTTCCCAGACACTCTCTTCCACCTCCCAAAGGATTTCTTGGAAAATTCTGCAAAATTGTTGGGGACTTTGGCTTTTTCTTCTTATACTCTCTGCACATCTCCTCAAAGGAAGCATAAGAAGAAATCTTGTCCTTTGATTTTTTGGCATCACCTTTGGCCATCCTGACTGTATTATTTGCTAATCTGGTCAGTACAGACCATGACCATGACATGTGGCTCAAGGTGCCCCTGCCCTTCACTAACTTTGGCCTCAAACTGCAAACCTCCCAATCTCTGCCTCCTGAAGAGCTATGATTATACATGGACACCTGGTCTAGTAATTAAATGTTTTTATAAACTGTTGACAATGTTTATTTTTAAATGCCATTAAAATATTCTGAAACAGATGATGAATACATGTAAAAACTATAGTTAGCTTAATAATGACAGAATAACAAAGCCAGTGAAAGAGAGACTATAAATCGTGATTTTTAAATAATCAGAACTTAGAAAGAACACTGAAATAAAATTTCTAAATTAGATATTATCCAGTTAATGTCTTAAAGGGCAATACAACCCCAACATTTAGGATTATTGTTTCTACCATACATAACAGGAAATCTATAAAATTTAGCTGATTCATATGTCCCTTAATTAAACATAATTGTAAACTGACTGAAGACTTCATAAATAGTAACTTAAACACAATTGCATGTTTTAGAGACTCAGTTGGCCTGTAAGTAGGCTTGTGAGTACTGAATGTGGCATCAAAATGTCACATGATCACTCCTTTGCCTTCTTACTGGTTCTAGAAATTTTTCTTAAGTAGTTAAGAAATGAACATAAAATAGCCTCCAACAATTCTAAGCCTCAATTTTTATCTTATTGTATTTAAATGTTATTTGGCTGAATTTGTTTTAAATGTGTGCTGCAAGAGGTTTTCCTCAACACAAACACATCTCTTTGTTATAGAGACAACAAATTATGTTCAACCACCAAGGCCAGAGAAACGACTTCTGTCTGAAAATCACATAAGTAGTCCTGGATTGCATTTTTTCAATTGGATTTCTATCTCAGAGATACCTTTCTATTGCTCTTATTAATTGTCTACTCAGAAGCTAGGAAACTAAAACCAAAAGTTAATATAAATTAGATTTTACTGCAGTAATTTTAAGTGTGAATGAATC